GTATGTCATAATGAAACCCGTTATGTATAATGAATACATGCTAATAGAAAAAAGCAAACAGAAGGCATTGGTGTAACACAGCTGCCTCCCACGGTTTCCTAATCAGTGAGGGGACAGACACTGTGCTGTGAAAAGTGTCGATAAGTGCTGGGAGCAGCTTGAGCATGGATGGGGACATTCTGGGCACTGGGTGGGGTGGCCCTTTGCTCTTGTCAATGTCTTGTTAGTACATTTAAACACAGAGAGGACTTCCTGCCAGAGCTCTCCTGTGTATGAAAATCACAGACCCAGTTGTCCTTACATGGTCCAACATCTGTTGTAGGTGGCAGATCTGGACCGCTGCCAGCTGTACCTGCAGGTGTTGGCTGAGCTCACGAGTCTCCAGGTGAAGCTGGGCTGGAAAGCAGGCAACCCTGTCAGCAGAATCATTTCTCCTTTGAAAAACTCGTGTATTCGCCATCTTCAGGAGGCTGAGAGTGGACAGGTAATCCTCTGGGACAGATGGATATGCTAAGGGAGCCTGAGGGGAATCCCTGTTTGGTTGCTACACACTATTCTGCTGCTGTAAAAATAATTTGTTGAAATATAATTGCTAAGATTGTGCCTGTGGGTGACGATACTGTAAGGGTAGGGTCCATAGCAGTAGTGTGGATGGAAATGTGACTTCAGTCTTGGGTGTGTGTGTGTGTGTGTGTGTGTGTGTGTGTGTGTGTGTTTACACATGGCATGTGGGCGTTCAGTGCTGGGAACTGATCACAGGACCTCACATATGCTTCACCAGGTCTCAATCTTTCCATTTGTGTCCGCTTTTCACCTAAAATATGTTTACATGACCCTGAGCATATAAAATAGGCATGCAAAACAAATATTTACTGATAACAAATTATAAGGAAATTTTAGTGGGTAGAGAGATGGCTCAGTGGTTAAGACCTCTTGTTGCTCTTTCAGAGGATGGGAGTTAAGTTCCCAGCACCCATGTCGGGCAGCTCATAATCTCATGTTACTCCAGCTCCAGGGAATCCGATGCCCTAACATCACATATGCACACATACATTTAAATAAAAGTTTTAAAAAGAAATGTATTTAAAAACAATTCTTTAGTATACATATAATTTTGCTATTTATTAAAAGCAAATTTGCATACCAATGAGATGGATGTGCTTGTTTGACTACAATCCCGATTGCATGCTAAAGACATGATGGTAGGGGTAGATTGAAGTCTTTTCTTACTGTAATCGAAGCATTAGTTTTAATAAGAACAGAAAGCTTTGTATGTACAATAAAAACACTGCATATAGCATACAGTAGCCTCGAGTCTGAGTGGGGGCATTTCAGGCTGTGGTCCTTGGTGTTGCAGAGCATGATGGCATGGGCAGGGCAAAGTGCGTGTTCTGTGTTCAGAGCCACAGCTATGCGAAGCTGCCTGATCAACATGGCAAGTGTGGCCGAAAACAGACTCATTTCACATTTGGTTTTCAATTCCTGTTTAGGTTGTTGTGTGTTCAGAAACGTTTCACTGTAGGCTGGGCATGGTGGTACATGCCATTAATCCCAGGCAGAGGCAGGTGGATCTGTATGAGTTCAAGGCCAGCTGGAGCTGTGCAATCACAAAAAGACCAAAACAACAACAACAACAAAAAACCCCTTTTACTGTTGACATTTTTTTTTCCAGGATCCCCATGTTCAGTATACAACCCCCTTGTGGGCTCAAAGCCCACAGCTAGGAAGTTCTTGGGCTAGGCAGGTGCTTTACCAGTGAGCTACATTCAGCCCTTTCTGTGTTTAGTTAAACTTTGAGACAGGGTCTTACTAAGTTACTCAGTTTGGCCTTGAGGTTACTCTGTAGCACAGGCAGGCCTTGAACTCATGATCCTCCTGCTTCAGCCTTCTGAGTAGCTGGGTTTATTAGGCATGTGTGCCCATACTCAGCAGCTTTGGCAGTAACTCACTTAGGCGCGGGTGGGGACCATCTGACATTTTCTGCTCACGCTGGCTTGGGGTGGACCCTTCTTCAGCTGTATGTCACTGTCCTCTGTATTTGGCTTCCTTCCTTAGTTTCCAGTCTACTTGTCCACTGTTCTTCATCCTGTTCCCCTGGTGCCTGTGCTGCCACTGCCCCAGGCTACCAGATAGAGCTTTGCTGTCACTAGTATGAGCTTGTTGTTATGGCCAAAATACCTGAAAGAAGTGACCAAAGGGAAGAGTGACTTCTTTGGCTCACTGCTGAGAGGGACAGTCCATTGTGGTGAGGAGGGCCTGGTGCAGCAGCAAGTGTGGGTGGAGCTCATCATCACATGGAACAGAAGTGGAGAGTTCATTCCAGAACCAGAGGTGGGCATCACCTTCAAGGCCCATCCTGTTGACTCGCCTCTGCTAGCTAGGCCCAAGAGTTCTACAACACCCAAACAGCACCATCCACTGGGAACCAAGTGTTCACACCCACCAGCCTGTCAGAGGTCATTTCACACCTAAACCTTAGCAGCTCCTCACAAGGCTTCCCTCCAGCCTGGGCCTTCCAGGACAGCCTGCGGGAGCCTCTGCTGCATCAGGGCCGCACTCATGCCTTCATTTTCCAAGTGCCCTTCATGCCCATACTATGGTGTTTATTCCCTTCTTTGTAATTTGTGGGACAATTTATGTATGTATGTCTCTACTGTATTTTAGACCCTATGGGCTTTGCTTAAACATGACAGAAGAGGAAGTGTGGGAGAGGAGCTCGAGCTTTAGAGACTGACTCCTGGGGTTTGAACCCTGGCTTCAACCTTGCTGTGTGACCAGGGGGAAATGACATGACCTCTGTGTCCCCATCTACTGTTCCTGCAAGATGATGGGATAGTGCTGACACGGGAATCAAAGCAGACTCACACCTGACCCCTTACCAGCTGTCCATGCATAGAAAGTCTGTACATGTTAGCACATGGTGGCTCTTTAACAAACTTGAACAGAATCATAGTCCGACTTCTGTACTGTCAATAAAAACAAAGAAACTACTCAGTTGATTAATAGCATCACTTTAGTTTTCAAGAGCCACTTAAAGAGGAAGTGTTACAGGACATGGATTAA